TACCTGGTTCCAGCATAAGAAACTTCTTGACTTCCTGGCCTGGCCATGGACACCTTCTATTTTATTTCTCCCCAAAGACTTATTTATTTTTAAAGTCAGTCTCCATATTCTTATTGTATAAATATTGTGAAGGGAAAACTCTACCTGTCAAAACAAATGGACCCTGACCTTTCTACCCCACTGTTTATGGAGTTTCATTTTACTCTTGCAGAAATTTATTCTGGACAGACTCCTTGGTGGGTTATTTTGATCCCCCACCAGCAGAAGTAGGGGTTGTAGGGGAGAGGGGAGCTTTGAAGGGGAGGGCTGGAGTTTGCTGGGGCGGGTGGGTAGACGAATAGGATCATTTTCCTTAGATATTTTATCTTCAGAGCGACCCCGGCTTCTCTCTCTTATCTCACTCTCCTAAAAGGTAAATTTCCCCTAGAAATCTTTATGAGAAGAGTTGGGACCCCTAGAGAGCCTCCTCCCCAAACCTCTACTTAGTGTGTGCACCGCCACCCCTGCCTCCAGATGTTTTCCTGTCCACCAGGGGGAGGGCCAAGGGGTGGCAGGAGGCCCTGAGCCCAGTCACACACCATGCTGCTTTTCCAAACTTTTCTGGCCAGCAGTGGCTGAAGATAGAGGTGGTTGAAGAGTGCAGGCATTTTTTGAGGTATCAGCATAAACAGAAACAGGGGGAACAGTCATAAGGGAGAAAGAAAGTCCTGTGGGGCACAGCCCTCTGCTAACGGTGGCCACCAATTGTACCTCGGGGTGCTCTCACCGGGCCTCCACTTCCTCAAAAAAAAAAAGAAAAGAAAAGAAAAAAGAGAGGAAAACACTGCAAAAGCCTTTATATCTATGGGAGGTAATGAATGACCCAGTCGACACTACTGATGACATTTAGTGTTAATTCCCACCTTGCCAGAGACAGTGGGCTTTGTAGGCACCAGGGGCTGGTCACATTACAAGCAATCTTTTCCCGTCCCCCAAGCTCTGCCAGCATCACCCACCTCTCCAGTGCGGTTTGCGTTTGCAAAAGGGGGTAAAATCCATTCCTCGCTCAGTCTTTGCTCTCCCTCCCTTTCCCCCTTCGCAACCCGGAAGAGCTCTGCTCTCTACAGTGAGCAGGAGAAGGCGGAGGGAGGGGGCTCCTAGGAAGGATGCACATCACCCAGGTTTTACTTCTTGCTGGAAGCCTGCGTGAGATGCAGCTGGGGCGTTGAGGGCTGCAGCGGCAACAGCAGTGGCCAAGTCTGCCTGTCATTTCTGCCTTCAGCTCTCCGGCAAGTCAGGAAAAAATAAAAAACAGCTGGCCGGCGAAAGTGAGCTACCCAGGTCAGTAAATATCGCTATCTTCTCTCTCTAACTCTACACTCACTCTCCCCGCTCCACGTGGAGAGAATTAAAAGGAGGTCTCGACTCCAAAGGGGTAGCTGCCCCAGGAAGAAAGTGAACTAGACCCCAGTCCTATTGTTATTTCTGGTCACCGGGAAATCTTGGGCTCTCTGCAGTGACCTTGGGCGAGCATGGTGTGTGCATGTGTGTGTCCTTGTTTGGAGAAAAGAGCTAGTAGAACAAGGCATGGGAAGAAAAGAAAAACTAAACGGAAAAATAAGAGATGGCGGGAATGCTTGGGATGGGCCCGACCCGGTTTCCACTGCAGGAGGGCAGAGGATTGGGGAAAGCCCCATTTGCGGAGGAGCAGCGCAGGCTTCTCCCGAAGGTGGCTGCAAGGTCCGGGTGTCAATTTCATGTTTATTTCCCTCTGCTTACAAGTGTGTGTTGAGGCTCATTGTCTCTGCATATAATTAAAGAAACAGCTGTGCGCTGTGAGATAAAAGTTAGAGCCCAGATGTGTGGGCATCTGACATCCCCCTGAGGGAGCTGGTGGCGGGAGGTGCCTTTGCTTCTTCGATCACCCTGAGATGGGTAAGAAAACCGCAGCCTCCGTGAGAGGGTGCCCAGGGTTGTGGGGAGCAGGAGGGGATAAGAGTTCCACTTTCTCCTGGGACACTGGACCAACAGGCCTCCAGGAAGTCACTCAATCGGAGACAGTTCCCCACCAAGACAGATAATGTTAAAATGTAAGGGAGGCAGAGTGAATCTGGGCAGGAGAGTTGCTTTTATACATCTTTGCCTCCTCTCAGATACCGCAGGGCGCTGAGGAAGCTGGCATGGGGTGCTTCTGTCCAGGGCAGAGGAACCAACTCCAACGACGGGCAGGACCTGCCCTTGGTTTGGTTCCCATGTTTCCTGGTCCTTTTCCCCTCCTCAGTCAGCCACCTTTACCGGAGATGCCTGGGTTGTGGATGGGAGATTATGAAATTCAAAGGGACAAATGATAAAGTAACATTTGCAGCCCTTCCATCCCTTAGCGGATGTGGCAGAAAAGGTGTGTGTGTTGGCTGTTGGTCCTGTGACAGGCTTGGGGCAGGGAGTCCCAGCGAGGGGCTGGGAGGAGACTCAAGTGTCTGGAAGTGAGATGCTTGTAGTGGCTGGATGTGGGAGGAGGCTGACCATAAAAACTTTCAAACGTTTGTGTGATTCTGAGGAAAGAAATTGTTTTCTCCCCATTTGAATCTGGGGCAGGGTATGGTGTCCAGGTCAGACAGACCAAGGTCCTGGTGGGTTTGGGGCCCCATTATCGAGTCCTGCATGGGCTCACGCAGGAGGCCCAGCGTCCAGCTTGCCCCCAGTTGCCTTGCAAGGCCTGAGGTTCGTGGCTGGAGAAGCCAGCTGGATTCTGAGGATAAGGTGAGTGGCACAGAGTACACAAGTCCATGCACCCAGCAGGCCACCCCTCCATTCTACACGAGATAGCTTCCCCAGCCTGGGGGACTCAGGGTTGGGTCCATCTGTTCTACGGAAAACCCAGACACAGGGGAAGCTGCAGTTTCCTTTATTTGATATTTCCACCGGCCTTTTTGCAGAAGATATGTGAGGTGGGGGTAGCGGAGGTGGGGTTCAGTAAAGGGATGGGAGTGGGAGCCCTTAGGCACTCACTGGTGGAACCTCTCCATTTGGATGCCGCCAGCCCAGGGCCACACAGAGAGCCTGGGGGGAGGGGCAGGTACGTGGGAGCCGGGTGGCTGAGAACCCGTTTTCTAGAGGTTAAAGCAATTTGTGGCAAGAACTTTTGGATGTGGCAGGGCATTAGGGATCCCGATAAGGGTCTGAAAGCCGGTGTTCTCTAACCGTTTCTGGGCTGCACTGAGGTGTTGCCTCAGTCTCTGCGTCTGAGCCCTTTCACACATAAATGTGCATTTCTTTCGTGGAGTCTTTGTGTGCAAACCAAATATTCCTGATCGCCTCTTTTTCTTGATGGAGTCACCGGAGAGAGGTTTTAGCAGCCTCCGCGATTCCGCCAAGGCAGCCCTGGAATTGGAGTCCGAACCCCCCTTTGCTTCTGGCCGCTGGACAGAAGGCACTAGAGGTGGTGGCGGTAGGTGCGGCCGTTGGAAGGACGAGAGAGAAAAGCGTCCAGAAGCTTGAGCCCAGGCTCCCTGGGTGTCCGTCGCTGCGGTTCTGCGGGCACACGTGTGTGGTTGCTGTTTTGTTTTATATAATAAATTACTGGGGGTCCACAAGGTGGCAGGCGGCGGAGAGCCGAGCGTCAGCCAGGGGTCTGGCGGGCAGAGGCGGCCGGCAGGGCGTCATCCCTCAGGGAGGGGAACGCGAAGGGCGCACGCGGGAAGGCCTCTTTACACCTAAGCCGGGCAGATTCACAGATGTTACCAGCGGGGCTCCAGCGTGTCCAAAGGAAGACGAGAACAATCCACGCTTTGTGGAGCTCGCCTCTACTGTCTCCTGATCTGAACGAAAATTACCCTCCCCCATCTTCCCTCGCCTTGTTGTGAACGCCCCTTTCCCTTAAAGCCCACTGTCGATTGTCCAGCAACAAGCACATCCCAGTTTTATGCTTAATCTAGAGAAGTAAAAACAACAGCCCCGTGTCAAAGCCCTCCTGAACTCCTGAAATGCCAAATTCAGGTGGCCAGAGGAGAGTCAGCAGAGGCAAGCGCTCGAGGCTCCGGGCTGGGGCGCCCGGCCAGGCGGCTCTGCAGATGGTGGCGGTGAGACCGCGCGGGTGCCAAGCCGGGAGGCCGGAGGCCATGGGAAGTGCAGCAGCTGCCCACGTGCACCCATCCTCACCCGAAAAAACGCTGCGGCCTGGAGTTCACATGGGTGAATCCCGCACGCCGACCTCTTCCCTGGCTGCGGTAGCGGCTCCTTTCCCTGGGAGTCCCGGCTGCTTCCGCGGCGCGGCCTGAGGACACGCTAGGAGGAGAGCCAGGGTCCAGACGCGCGAGTCCCTTCCTAAGAGTCATTAGAACCGCTGGCGGCCGGATCAGGGGCTGGTGGCAACGGAGCCACCGCACCAACCAGCTGGAGGACCGCCACCCCTTCCTTTCCTCTGTGGTTCCCACCTGTCCCCCAAGCCGCCAAGGCCAGGAGGGGAGGAGGGAGGGCTAGGAGGTGCGCCCTTCCTCCAGGGTGACTCTCATTCCTTTCGACTCACCCTCCAGGGGAAATCTTTCTCTCTCACCCAACCCCAGGGCTCCCGCATTGCTAGTCCCCCGCACCTGTGCACTGTTCAACCCCAAAACAGAAATCCCCTGCCCTTTTCCACCCCCTTTCCGCTACACCCCTACCTGCCCCATTTTTATCTCGCTACAATCAGGGTTTTTCTCAAACGGGGGGGAAGAGGGTAGCGGCAGAGGGAGTGTCAGAATCCCTCGAAGCTGGAGGGCCGGGTCTGGAGGTGGGGCGAACGGGAGGGGTAATCTCCGAGCGCATCTCCTCTCTTTCTGACGCTCCACATCGCTCTCGCCTCTCGTCCTGCCTGGCCTGGGCGGGTTTCCTTCCGAGTTTTTAATCGGTGATAGATGAATAAGCAAAAAAAAAAAAAAAAAGTGTAAATCAAACCACACCCCCCCCACCCCCAAAGCGATGGCTCATTTCCCAGGGCAGGTGGACCCTAGGCCTGGGGCGGGTGGGCGTGGGAGCCCAGGGCAGGGTTGCCGCGCGTAGCTCTTTTCGCCTGAGTTCCCGCGGGTTTTCCCTTTGACGTTTCCTTCTCCAGCATCTTCCCTTTGCCAGTGAGTTTTTGGGTCCCCTTTTTTCTGCGTTCCCCTAGGTCCCCTGTTCGCTGTGTTTCTTTTGAAGAGAACGACTAGCACTGCCCACGCTGCCTGCTTCTTTCTAATCGCCTTTTGATTTCGCTTCCCACTCTCTGCATTTCAGTTCATGCGGGAAAGAGAAAGGGGTTTGGGTGGGGAAATGCACAGACATAATGCAGTATGTGTTTAACCTGCGCTGTCCCGGGGCGCCGCGCGGGAGCGGACTCCCCCACTGTTACGCCCGCGCAGCCTCGGCCGGGCCCGGCGGTGGCGCCTTGGGCAGTGTCCCCGGCGTAACCCTCCCGTCCGGCAGCCGGCGAGCTGTTTATACAGCTTTACCTGCGCTATTCTCGTATCCAGTAAAAATCCTCGCCCCGCCGCGGTAACCTAATCCGAGAGCCGAGGCAGAGGAGGGGGTAGCGAGGCTGGCTCGGTGGAGAGGGAGGTGTGTAAGCGCCAGAAGGGGGTTCTCTGCTTTGCCCCTCCTCCCCGATGGGGAAGGAAATTGGGACGCGGTTCGAGTGATCGAGGTGGGAGACCCAGGGCTAAGGAGGAAAGAGACTGGTTTGCACATCCACATCGTCTCTGCTTTTCTCCCTAACTCTAACAGGCACCGGGCACACGCGCGTGGCTGCAGCTCAGACGCGTGCTGCCAGCAGGCGCCGCGGTCCCGCGGGCGCCCCGCAGGGCTAGCGAGGCCCAGGCCGGGATGTCCCCGTGTAGGAAGGACCAGGACCTGGTCGCTCTCGCCTCGCTTTCAACTTGCCCCATTAAAACTCTCGCACCCAAAACAAAACCCGCAAGGAAGGGAGCCGGCGCTAAAGCAAATCTTTCCTCCCAGGCCAGACTCTTCTTTCAGAGTTTCCTTGTCCAGGCAGCAGCCGGCGCGGGGAATCGAATTAAACGCCTCTTGGCGGTTATTGTCTCTCGCTAATTGCTCCAACAATGGCCACTATTAAAGTGGAGACACCCAATTAAAGGCCTCTTGGGGCCGCGCTCGGCTCCCCACGACGAACTGGCCGCCGGCCTGGGGATTTACAGATCGCGGGAGTGCGAACCGGACTGGTACGGGGCGCCGGCGCCGGCCTCGGCACCTCTGGCCTCCACTTCCTCCCCAGACGCACAGCGACCGCGGCCAGTTCACACCATTTTTATTGACCGATCGCAGCCAAGGAAGATTGATCGAGGTGGAATGGGAAGGGATTTCTCCTCCCCCAACCCCGGCACGCCAGGGCCTCGGGGCCGCGCTCCAATTTCTGGCCTTTGCTGTCGCTCTGCGCCCTCCCCGCCCCCAGCCCCGCAGGTTCCCGGCTTCATTTCTGTCTTTAACTGTGAGGCCGGGTCCGCCCAGGCCGGCGCCGCGGCTCCGGGGGGAGGGACGCGGCGGCGCGGCCCGGCTCCGCTTCTTTCTTTCGCTTGCAAATATTTGCTGCCTCGCTGGAAATCCGACTATTTCGCGCGCGCTCCTCTTGCAAAGTCCTTAAGTAAACACGCTCAAATGACTGCCCCAGGCGGCCGGAGGCACGTTCACTCCCCCTGCACCGGATTAGTAACTTTATGACTTCGACCCCGAGGCTCGGCTTTTCTGGTTTCCCTCCGCCAGCAGCGCGCGGGCGCCGGGGGCCGTGGCTCCCGGTACCTCGGCCCCGCGGAGCTCGCCGGGACGCGCCAGTCGCCAGGCTCGGGTGGGTGGCGCTGACCGCGTGGATCTCCGATCTCTGGGTCCTGAGACCCCAGGGGTGAGCCTGTGGGGCATGCTCCTCCCCTCTGCGCCGTGGCTCCGGTTCCTTCGCGGGACTGAGTTCCCCCACTTCATCCGGACAGAGTCTCTGCGCTCCTGGGAGGGCGGGTGGGTGGGACCTGTACATAGGCAGGTTTGGTTTTTTTTTGGGGGGGGGGTGTGGGTCCCAGCTTACCCCAACCGAAGAGAGAACGTAAAGCTCCATTTCTTACCCTTTCCCCAAGAGGGCACACACACCCCGCTCAACTTGACGCCTAAAGCAGCCGCCTGGAGGCCTGGCGTTGCAGATAGGCCAGACTGGCTCCTGCCGCCACACAGGGACTCGGCTCCTGGGGGGTTGGGGGTGGGGTGGGAGGGCGGTGGCTGCGTCGTCGCTTGCTCTGCTCCCGCATACTTGCCCCTAGGGTCCCAGGCATCCAGGTCATTCGCCAGCCCCTTACCCTGGTGAGAGAGGCCTCGCGCCCTACAGGAGCCCAGGGCCGCAGCATCCTCCTCGGTCTACTCCTGGCTTTCTCCACCGGAGCTCCGCGGGCGGCTCCCAGGGAGAAGGGGTTCTCGTAGACCAGGCCGGGGCGGGGGTGCCTGTGGAGGGGCGTCAGGTCTGCAGGAGGGCGCTGAGCGTCTCTGCGGGAGGCCAGGATCAGCTCTGTAGACAACTGCAGAGCGGGAATCAGGACCACCTTTCCCCCCCTCCTTCCCCGGGCCTCGAGCCCCCTCCCCTCCCCCGCGCCCCCGGAGGAGGAAGCCCGGCCTGCATTTGCCGGCGAGGCGGGTCAGGCCGGCGCCTGGCCTAGCCCAGACCCCCGCGGCCCGGCTCTGCGCCTCAGGCCACGCGCCGCAGCCTCTCTCCGGCCGCGCTCCCTTCCCCCTTCCTTCCCCGTGGGTCCCGGGGCCGACCTCGGCCCTCCCTCCCCGGTATGTGCTCCCGGCTCTGGGGCTGGGCCCGTGACGTCAAACCCAGTGTGGCGTCGGCGAGACTGGCCGGCGCGGGCCATCAAAAGAGCAACGTCCTCTTTCCCAATTACCCACTGTCAGTCCGGGAACAGGGGCGGACCGGCTGGGAATTAAATGTTAAATACCCCCTACAGGCTGGCTCCATTATACCGGGCATCCAGCCGCAGCCCCCCGCGCCTCTCTGCCAGCTCCAAACCACCCAGACCAAAAGGGGCCTTCGAGATCTTTTATTTTTCTAAGGTGGTTGGGGCTGGGAGGGGGGTGCTCTCCATCCCAGTGCAGCCCGACTTGGTGCTCGTGATTTAATTAAAATGAATGATGCCCCCAGCCCCCAGTTTTGTGCGTTATCAGAGAGGCGCCGCTACACCGGAAGGCCTCCGTCTCACAAATCTTTTCTCTTTGTCTTTTAAAATCGTTCTCAGCCTCAGAATTAACATTTTCAAGTCTTGGCGTCGGTAGCGCTTCTCCCCGGAGAAAGGCTCCCTTTATCCTTCCCGGCCTTCCCGGTCTGGGCGTGGAGGACCGCAGAGCCACGCTGGGGGTTTTCCGCGTGGCTTGGGTCAGAGGTCTGGCGAGCGACTCCCCGTCCTGGACTGACGCGCTTTTCACTTTTCCTCTCTGCTTCCACCCTGAATCTTAATCTCGGGACTTGTAACAAAAACGTGTGTGCGTTTGTCTGCCCTTGTTTGTGGAGCGGTTTCCAGTGAATGTTAGGCAAAACTAAATAATTAAAACGTTTGGAGAGCGCCGTGAGCAGGAGGAGAAGCTGGCAGCTTTGACTGGCCCTAGAGAGAAGTGGTCAGAGAAAAGGGAAAATCGATGTTCCTTTGCCGGGCCGCCCAAATAAACCCGGACTAAATGGGCTCAGGAGGAACGTGTGTGTGTGTGTGTGTGTGTGTGTGTGTGTGTGTGTGTGTGTGTGTGTAATTTAGGGGATTTCTTCCTGTTCCACATCTAGGAACTAAACTCTGATTTCTAACAAACATCAGATTTAAGAAGATGGAGACTAGAGGGATACTCTAAATCCAAAATCCGGAATACTCATGCTTCCACTACTGCCAAATAAATTTTACTAATCTTTATACAAGGATTGTGTATTAAAACAAGACATTGCGATACCTCAGCAAATTAAGGCTGAATATTGATGTTTTTCCTTCACCGCGTGAAAGGAATCCTACAGAACCTACTTTTAGGATTCTCTTCTAGCTGGACTTTTTGTATCTGTAGATAATTTTATGGACTATAAAGTGGGGATAATGTCTTCAATTCAAATAGATCCCTATATCGTCCGTGGGAAAGCCTACTGAAGAACCCACAGTCTCTCCTCGCACACATTGCCCTGGGTTAGCAGAGGTTGGAACCTGAGTCCTCTTTTCCCGCCTGACCCCTGCGCGCCCCGGCCGCCTTTTCAGGCCGGCAGCTGCAGGAGCCTCAGCGCCGCTAGGGGATGCAGTGGCTCAAAGGACGGAGACAGGCCGTGGAGGTTGGAGCCCGCGGGGCCGACCAATCGCGGCACGGCCGCAGCCTCGCCCGCTGATTGGCCCCTTCCCCGGCCCCGCCTCTCGAGGGGCGTCTCGGAGCAGCGCTCTCTCCGCCCCCCGGCTGTAGGGCCCAACAGAGCGAGTCCTGGGGAGCTGCGGGGCCTGGGGAGAGTCGTCACCGCCGGGCTGGGGGTCGGTGAAGGGGTTTGGGGAAACACGCCGGGAGCCGGAGTAAGTAGGGAAAAGTTGGGTAACTGGAGTGAAGACCCGAGTTCCTCTTTCCAACCCTTCTCACTGCGCTTGGAACTACTTCGAGTCTTTTCCCCCTCTCTCTTTTCATCCATCACTATTGTCACTTAAGTCAAAAGCACACGTCGATTACAAATATTAGGTCTTGCAAGGACAGCTGCAACAGCCGAAACGTTTCATTTGACGGGCTTGTTAACGCAAAAGGGCTGGGGCGCATGTTGATAACGACCCCCAAAATAACTTGGACATTTCAATCAAATGCATATTCCTCTTGCCGGATTCCTCAACCTCTTAGGGCAATTCTCTCGAAAGGCTAATCTCAGACTACTTTGACATTTTTTTTCTGATCAGTTTTACATGCACGTAGCCCCAAGTCAATACACTCCTTAATACCCCTCTAGATTGAATAAAAAGAAAATGTTTGCTCATTTAGAAAGTCTGCAAAAGCAAGGCTGCCTGCAGAAATTAACTTTATGAATGGGGCAGGCCGGTTTCTCCCGCACGGAATCATCCACCCAGCCGGAAAGAATTGGCAAGAGCGGGAGCCTCATTTAAAGGGCCAGAGCGCGAATTCCCTCCTGTTGGTCCCCTCTGCCCCCACCCCCGGCCGCCTCGCCCACCCGCTCCGCGCCCCCAGCCCGGGCAGCCCTCCGGCGCCCCTTCCGGTCTGTGGAGGGGCGGGAGGAGGGGCGGGGGTGAAGTCCTGGAGTGGGTTTGGGTTGCAGTTTCCTTGCGCTAGGGAGCCTGTCCCCTCCTCGCCAGCGCCAGGCTCCTCCCTCTCGGCGCGGATGACACTAGAACCTCCTTAAGTTGCGTCGCGCCACAGCTGTCTGCGAACACTGAGCTGCCTGGCGCCGTCTTGATACTTTCAGAAAGAATGCATTCCCTGTAAAAAAAAAAAAAAATACTGAGAGAGGGAGAGAGAGGAAAAGAGAGGGAGACTGAGAGCGGGAGACAGAGCGAGCCACGCAATCTGACCGAGCAGTTTCTGCTCTTCAGGTCACACGCCTCCTCTTCTCCTCTCTGCTCTTGACTACCCAGGTTGGTACCGGAGACTTTCTTTTTTTTTTTTAAGTTTGATTTGGTTTCCCTTTGCATTTGGGAAAACTTTAAAAACGTTTAAAACGCAACCCTCCTCTTTGGGAGAGTTTCTAGAGGCTGGAAGGAAGGTCCCGGGACCGGTGTCCGGGAGGGAGGGAGCTGTCGTCCGAGTTGGAAGGGCTCAGTCAGCCCCGGGCTCCAGGGAGAGCCGGGCTGTGGGGGTGTCCTTGGGAATCGGTCCCTCCCCGGCCGTGTCCCGGTTTTCCTAGCTTTGGAGGAGGCGCGCGCGTGTGTGTGCGTGTCCCGGTGCCTGGGCGCGGGCCGGCGGCTCAAGGGAAGGTGGTGCCTCTTCATAAACTCAGGTGCCAAAGTACTTAGAAGCTCATCCAGGTTTCCCCTTCTGTTCTTTGCAGGTGACCCGAGGAGGGACTCAGCCTCGGAGCCCGCTGCAGAGGAGCCTCGCTTGCAGAACTCCAGCCGTCCTCGCTATCCCCAGCCCCCCCTCCCCCGGCGTTACAATTTGGTCCCCCTTTTATCGTACCTGTTTTTTGGGATTTATTTTTTTCTTCCTTTTCTTCTCTTGGCTAAACTACCCCCTCAAAGATATTTTTAAAAATCTCATTTGCTCACCTTTCCTTCCCACGTTTCCCCCACTGAAAACAAATCAGTAAGCGACCCCCACTCCTCTGACGGCAGGCGCACCTGCAGAGCCTCGGAGCCCCCACCCCCTGACCTCCCAGCCCGACCGCCCTCCCTCTCCACGCGCGGGTTCCGGGCCCGGCGAGAGGGCGCGAGCGCAGCCGGGGCCATGGAGGTGACGGCGGACCAGCCGCGCTGGGTGAGCCACCACCACCCCGCGGTCCTCAACGGACAGCACCCGGACACGCACCACCCAGGCCTGGGCCACTCCTACATGGACCCGGCGCAGTACCCACTGCCCGAGGAGGTGGATGTACTTTTTAACATCGACGGTCAAGGCAACCACGTCCCGTCCTACTACGGAAACTCGGTGAGGGCCACGGTGCAGAGGTACCCTCCGACCCATCACGGTGAGTCCGCCCCAAGTGCGGGGACCCCCCGCGCGACCGCCCCCGCTGCCCCGGGTTGGGGGGGGCAGGGAGATACTAGGGGTGGGGAGACCCAGCCAAAGCCCCCAAGTGCCGTTAGTGCTTCATTAAAAAAAAAAAAATTAGGGCCCGGAAATGGGCGAGGAAGCCTTCTCGAAGATCATCAAGAGAGTGTGTTTTTAACAACAGTCGCAGAGGCGCCTCTCCGGGGCTGGTGTCCCTGGGGCCTGGCTCTCACCTGGCCGGCGCGGGGCTGCAGCCCTCTCTCGCTGCGCGGCCGCAGGTCGGGGCCCTCCGAGGGCCCAGGAGCCACAAGCCGAGGCTCTGCCTCCGCCGGCCACGGCTCCGCGGCCGGGCAGCCAACGCCGGCCCAACCCGGCTGGGACTCGGTTCCTCCAAAGGGCTTTGCTCCCCAAACTTTCCCATCATTCTTTCCCGGAGACTTCTGCCAGCGAGCTTCAGTTTGTTTCTTCGGCACATTTCTAGATAGGCCCGTAGGACATTTTTTTTTATTCATACCCCTGATTTTGACCTTTCCCCAAAGCCAGTGCATTTGGTTTCTAGGCAGGTCTGCTACCCCTTGGCTCTGAGGAATGGAATTCTAGTGCTTGAAGGGGTCTCGGTGGAAAGACTACTGTCCCAAGGTGGAGACATAAGCGGTTTCCTAGATTCCCGGATGCACAGAATTTTCCTGCGGCTTTGCTTTTAGGTTGCCTCATTGCTGCTCCTTGCAACTCTTGCTTTACTCTCTCCTCCGGCCTACAACAGTCCATTAGGCTCCCAAAGAAGGTTGGGATCCACCAGGGTTCCTTTTTATGGAGGAGCGAGAGATCCCAGTGGCTTTTCCTTTTTTTCTTTCTCTTTCACCTTGAGAAGTTTGGGAGAGTTCTGAAACGTTAAAAAGAAACCCAGCCCTGTGTTGTTAGGGGGAACGCTCTAAGGCTTCCCAGCTGTACGTGTGTTCCTGAAGAAGAAATAGCAGCTACGTTTCAGGCAGAGAAAATGGGAGGCTCTCTCCGCAACCCCTGACTGGGGTCTGCCCATGTCCCCCTACTTGGAGCCGGCATTTGCGCCGATGACAGAGCCCCTCCGGCAGCAGGAGTCCTCCGCCCTCTGTCACCAGGTTTAAACAATTGTTTCTGCGGATGGGGCGCTCTTTGCCCTTGTTCTGTGCAGGTCAGCAGTTAAGTGGAAACGCGGTGGATACAGGCTTAATATTATTTACTATACTACTTCCTGCATAATATGAATCTTGACCCTTGGTGTTCAGAGAACTCCCCTCCCCTTCCTCTCTCTTTAGATTTTAGTTTCAGTATTGTTCTTAATGGTTAAATAGAGTGTCAAACGTTGGGGCAGGTACTGGATTAAAAGATCAATAAATGTGTGCATTTGAACTTGCAGTTTAAAGGTACCCCTCTCAGAGTGTATGGACTTGTTTGGGTTGTGGCTGCATATAAACTGGAATTTTGTGTCTCAGGGGCTCAGGTGAAAAGTCACATATCACCCTGGTGGAATCACAACTTTGAAGGCATCTGGGGCTTCTTTTCTTTTCTTTTTTTTTTTTTTTATAGGATTTGGGAGGCTGAGAAAGGCCTTCTGGAAACTTGCTCCAATAGTCTGAGCGATTCAGATTTCCCTGCAAATCCCATTTCAGGCCTTGGCAATTACGAGCAAGCCCTGAAGTAGGGTTACTTGGAGGGAACCCTAAGAAACCCTCTCTTCCCAGCCCTCTCCTTCCTGTTCTGGGCAGCAGGAGCTGGGCACTGCTGCTGGCCTGGCTCCGGCCGGTGGCTTTTCCTGGTGTTGAGCGCTTGTGCAGCCAGGCTCACCCCTTCAAGGCCTCATCATTCACCGCCGACTCTGTTATCAGGCTTGCTCGGGTTAGGTCTGGGATAGGGGACACCCGGCCATTGAAGGGAACCAATAAATCAAGTCAGATTCTAGAGAGGAACCTCAGGGGATGTGATTTAGAAAGTGTGTCTTGGGAGGCCAATCAGCCAAGGGACCATTCTCCACTCCATCGCAGCCCCTCTTGGGTGTCAGACACAGGCCCTTCATTCTGCGGGATGGGACATTTGTGTGGGGGAGAGGGGTGAAGTGTGTGCTGGCCAAGGTATTCATGGGACGCCTGGATCAGAGTGGGGCCGGCGGAGCCCAGGTGCCCTGTGTTTGGGATTTTCCTGAAAGGGAGGCTGGGGTGGAGGGGAGACTCCCCAGGTGGGTCTGAGGGCCGCCGGGCTGCTCTCACCGGCCTTTCTCTCTCCTGCCCCTCTCTGCAGGGAGCCAGGTGTGCCGCCCGCCGCTGCTGCACGGATCCCTGCCCTGGCTGGACGGCGGCAAGGCCCTGGGCAGCCACCACACCGCCTCGCCCTGGAACCTCAGCCCCTTCTCCAAGACGTCCATCCATCACGGCTCCCCGGGGCCCCTCTCGGTCTATCCCCCGGCCTCGTCTTCCTCCCTGTCGGCGGGCCACTCCAGCCCGCATCTCTTCACCTTCCCGCCCACACCACCGAAGGACGTCTCTCCGGACCCGTCCCTGTCCACGCCGGGCTCGGCCGGCTCGGGCCGGCAGGACGAGAAGGAATGCATCAAGTACCAGGTGCCGCTGCCCGACAGCATGAAGCTCGAGTCGTCGCACTCGCGGGGCAGCATGACCACCCTGGGAGGGGCGGCGTCGTCGGCCCACCACCCCATCACGACCTACCCGCCCTACGTCCCGGAATACAGCTCCGGACTCTTCCCCCCCAGCAGCCTGCTGGGGGGCTCCCCCACCGGCTTCGGGTGCAAGTCGAGGCCCAAGGCGAGATCCAGCACAGGTAGGCGCCTGCTCTCCCCCAGGGCCCCTTCCCGCCCCCCCTCCGCCTCGCTCTTCTCCTAAATCCGGGGCCAAGGAGAGAGCGCAGTCTGGCCCCTCAGGGGACCTGGGTGATACTCCAGACCCCTCTGAGATTTGATTTCTTCCCATTCTTCCATGAATGAGGTGTGTCCCCTCTCATTCCAGTCTTCAGAGCAGAGGACAGTGGGATCTAATTTAACCCTCCAAGGAGCTGGGGAAGGAAAGAGACCAACACAAACACAAACAAACCCTCTCCTGCCTGCCGGGAGGGGGAGGTGGGCTCCTGGGTCCTGCCAGTAACCTTTAGTGAGTTTCGAAGGCCAAATGGAAGGCGAGGGAATGACTCTAGTGTTTAATGCTAAACCGAAACCTCCTGAAACCTAAACAAGCACAGGTCCCTCCTGACCCTTCCTGGCCTCTAAGTCCCTTTGGCTGTTCCTCTACGCCCAGCTCAAACGGGGTCATGCAGTCAACAGAGAACAGCCCTTTTTACAGACATGTATAAATAACGTGTGTATATATTTTTTGTGGGGGTGGGGTGGGGTGATACCCTGGCAAAAGCAGCCAACATATTCTTTGCATGGAAAAGGAGGCTCTCGCAGTAAATTCTGGGAGAGGAAGGCGGGCTCTGCACGGGGAAACAGCTGCATGGAAATCAAAAGTCACCTGGGCCAGTTACCTGCAGCATCTTCTAGTGCTCGCAGCCCAGGCAGGGGCAGGAAGGCGTCTTAGGACATAATTCTCGATTGATCTGAAGCCAGAGGAGGTAGGAAGGACTCAAAAAGATCCCCAGGTGTGTGTCTCTGCTACTTTTCCTCATCCTCTTAAAAAAAAAAAAGCACACCCTGTGTAACAGTGGTCTGCCTCTTCATTCTCTTGGTATAGACACTTGCATTAAAAAACAAACAAACAAACCCACACAAAATACTTTTGCTTTAAAAATGAAATGATCCACCACCAATTTTGTTTCTAACTGAAGCAGCGGAATCAAAGAATCTCAGATTCTCTGAGATGAGATTTAGTTATGTTTTTAGAGATAATTTGTGAATATCGTTGTGTCTTCTTGGAGGGGTGTGTCCATTGCAGGGTGGGTGACTCTGTCCTGGTCCATTCCAACTGTCCTGCCTCTGCCCTCGACCTATGGAGAGTCTGTAGACCAAGAAATGGCACAAACCGCTTGTCTCTTATGGGCGAGATGAGCTGTCTTGAAACAGAGTTGGCAAAACCCCGGTTTAGAAAACATCCGAGGGAGGGCTCTGAGAGCCCAGTGACCATGAGATCAGTTTTCAGGTTTTTTTTTTTTTTTTTCCAGGGTGACATTCACTCCGACTGCCTGGGCAGGACTGTCTCTATTTAGTTGATATGTTTTAGCTAATCCAATTATTTTCAGACTGCTGCACGCGACAGTTGCATTGTTTATCCCGCGCCAGGAACTTTAATAGAGTCCGGATGCGGTTAGGCTGACAGAAAAACTCAACCTGTATGTTCTGTACATGAAAGTCGGCAGAGGGAGAGGGAGGTAGTCTGGCTGGTGGAGACAGAGAACAAGCAAGAAGGGAGAGCAGGCCAGGAAAGTGGCCTGGCAGCCTGGTCAGGGGCCGGCTTGGGCGGGGAGTGGAGGGTTCAAGAGAACTGGGGTGCAGCCTTTCACAGAGAACCCCAGGATTAGATCAAGGCTTGAGGGCTTATTGCAAAGAGAGCAGACCTGTGCCTTTTGAGGTAGTGATGGCCTTTTGTTTTTTAAGTTCTCTTTTCTGATAAGGCTAAAAGTTTTGGGGGGAAGATCGTGGTATCTGAGGCTGCTGTGGTGGTTTTGTGTTGGGGGAAGGGACAGAGTTGAGTTTTCCAAAAGCCTCTGGTTTCTCTGCCCTCATTTCCGTGTTTGACTTCTCCCCCTCTGGTGTGCATACCTTCGGCCTCTGGTTCAGTCTTTTTCATTTCTTGCATCTCTTTCCTAAGACTGCACATTGGGCGGGTGGTGGTGGGGTCTCTGCGATTTCCCCAAACCAGAACCAGCGACACCTATTATACCTATTTTATTGACTTGTTTTTTTGGTGGGGAGCAGAGGAAAAGAGACGATTTAAATTTGGCTTTTTACTTCCTCCTCTTATTCCTTTCTCACAGTCAAAAAACCGGAGGCCAGCACACCTGGGCAGTGAGGGAGCTGGGACTTTTGGGAGTGTGGGAGCCGGGAGGAGAAGTTTTTAGATGCCTTCTGTGTAAAGGGGGTGGAAGTGGTGGGAATTCTTGAGGAGGGGATTCTCTTGGTTTTAGTGGTTGCTTTCTTTTTTTTTTTTTTTTAACCTCTTTGCAAACGCACTTGCCGAAGAAGGAGACAACAGAAGAGAGGTTTGTCGCATTTTGGAGAAACGGTTAAAGCTGTGGTTAGGGCACCTATTGCTTTTGTAACACCAGCCGGCTGTCAGAGCTGGGATATGTCTTTGCAAACAAAAGAGAAAGACTTTTGCAGAGGGCCATTTCTTAGCTCCCCACGTCCTGTGGGCATCTCTCTTCACCTTCTTCCTGTTCACGACCTCCCACCCGCTCCCTGCCCATTCTGTCCAGCCCAGTTTCAGGATTTCAGGCGGAGGCGAAGGGGTGCTTGAAAATGGCTGTTGAATGTCAAGCTTTGTGGTTCTTGTCACCTAAGAGAGAGGTGTCTGCCTGAGCAGCTCATACCAGGCAGTGAGCGAGGAGAAGGAAAGAAAGCAGGAGACAGTCAGGGCCTACATTAGGAGAACTGGTTGTTTGCTGAAGTCTCAGACTAGAGGCAACAAGGAGAAAAGAAAAAAAAGTAAGAAAAACCCACACAAGGCAATCGCAAACTCGCGGAGTGAATCAAGACAGAAAATTGCTCTACTGAGCAGAGCCTTGCTGAAGAGGCAACCGTTGCTAGCTTTTAAGGTCCCTCTGAAAAGGAAGCTGTCATCCTCTCCACTGCCTGACAAAGGAAAGGAAATCAGACTAATCACATCAGGCTGGGAGATCCCCGGCCCACAGTACCTAGGAGCAGGGCAGTCAGCCCTGAGCCTCTCTCTGCTACTGGAGGGAGCATGGAGCCAGACAGACCTCACACTCCAAGGAAGAAAGGGACAAAGTGGCTGGGGACCTGAGAGACCCCTGTCTTGGCAGGATGGGGAGTGGGCAGCCCCAGTCACAACAGGCCAGCATCCCTGTCCCCAGAAGGAGCAGACCCAGCACCCACTTGGGGCCCAGAGCCTGCAGAGCCTGCCTGCCTCCTGGCCCCGGTGGCCCCTGGTACCACCTCGCCCACGTGCCCCTTCCTCCTTCCTCTATGCCTCGCCCACATCCAGCAGCCACAGCCCACAGGCTTGGACCCCAGTGAAAATGGTCTAGATGCAATTCGGTCCAAAGCCTTTTTTGAGGACTGACAGATACTGTTGGGTCCCTGGGAAGTGCTTATGGCACATAGGGCCACGTTTTTGTGGATAATTGCAGGGGTTCTCAGAATGCTCTCTGCAGACCCTGGGTTAAGAACCTTTTTTTTGATTTGGAGGGGAAAAAAAAAAAGATCTGTCTTAACTCCTTACCAATTTTTTCTTTTGAAAAAGAAAAGTAGATCAAAAACTGCTCATCATCGGCATGGACTCCAGTGTGAAGGGAGGCACAACCCTCTCCCGTTTTCCCCAGACCCTTCCCTGGAGAAAACCACAGGCTCACAGGTGTAAAGCTCCCTAATTCCCAATTCCCACACACTTGGTCTGGGGGTTTTCCGAAGGAGAGACAGGCCCTGCCCGAGGCTACCCTGGCCCGGCCTGTGGAAAGTCACGATTTCCCCGCGCCCCGGTGCAGTCCTCCTCCCCCAGCCCATCTCCCTGGTAGTTTCCGGTTAGCTGATTAATCTCTTAAAACAAAACAGCCTATAGGGGCTTCTCTTTCTTTCCTGCCATCCTCCAGAACCTCCCTCTCAGTACCCCAAAGAGTGGGAGACCCTGTCCCCACTCGGGCCTCCTCTGGGGGGGGGGTCCAGCTAGTGGTGCCACCGGCTCCTGCAGGTTTGAGGACCGACTATCGGGTGGAGCGGAGGCTCCTTGGGGGGTCCTGTCTTGGAGCAGCCAGGCAGGGAGAACAGCCTCCCCCAGCAGCCTGGCGGGTTCCCCCAGAAACTGCCCTCCCCTGTGCAGAACTTGAAAAGCAATCAGTAAGCAAACTCCCCCATGTCCTAAAATGGTATTTTGAGGGTCTGGTTCCCTCGCCCGCCCTTGGAGTGAACGCTGCCTGAACCTGGCCTGGCCGGTTTTTTGTTTATTTTGTTTGTTTGTATTTTTGGAAAAAGAGCAACTGTAGGCAGGCCTTGGTTAATCAGCTGACCAAGACCTCCCTCCACCCGCTTCCCTACCTGGCAGGATTCTGCTGATCCTTTGCCCCTCATTCTGTCCCTCCCACCCCCTCTTCTTTCTCTTTCGCTGCCCCCCCCCCATCTCCAGGTTCCTTGCCTAAAGGTGGCACCTCAGTCCTAGTCACAGTGGCTGGTTTGGGAAAGTGGAAAAACCTTGGCCTTTTCTAGAGAGAAAAAGGATGGTGGGGAGTGAGTGGACCCTGCTGGGTCTTGACCTGTTCCTTGCCAACCAGGGACATTTATAGTTTTATTGGAAGTAAAATCTAAAGACTCCCCCGCCCTCATATCAATCGGCCAATTGGCCGATCTATGCATCTACTTACTATCTGTTTACCTATCTCACCATTGATTCATCTTTCCTTTCTCCCCATCCTAATCTTCATTATTTAAATCAATCTGTAGGGATGAGAATGGGTCACCTTTGTTTTCCTTTGAGTGAAGTGAGTGGAATGTTCTGTTCTGCCTGGGTGGGGTGGGGTGTGGGGGGGACGGGGACTCAGAATTTCCTCAGAGAACTGTGAGAATCTGAAATTTGCCTTTCTCGTGTCCCCCATTGCCCAGGATGAGGTCTGCTGCAGTGTATTCCTGGGCCACTTCCCTGTGTACGGGTCAGGCCAGGAGCCGGTCACCCAATGACTGTTTTCAGCTTGGGAGCCACCTTTAAGGGAAGTGGGGGTGGGAAGGTCCGCCAAAAGGGAGAGAAGAGAGGGAAAAAATAGTTCTCTATTTGACTGTCATTCCCTAATTCCAAGGGGAGCGCTGGCAGCTGCTCTGCGAGCTTTTCTTCCATAAGTGACTTATGTGTGGTGTTGTTTCTAGAAGGCAGGGAGTGTGTGAACTGCGGGGCGACCTCTACCCCACTGTGGCGACGAGATGGCACCGGGCACTATCTGTGCAACGCGTGTGGGCTGTACCACAAGATGAATGGACAGAACCGACCCCTCATTAAGCCCAAGCGAAGGCTGGTGAGTCGTCTTTGGGAAGCACTGACCCAACACTAACCATTTGGTGTTTTTCATTTCCTCTCTTTAGGAAGGAGAGCTTTCTGCAGGAAATTGGCAGGACAGCTCACAATCATGTTGCTTGGGAGAGTTTTTTTTTTTTCCCCTTTCTTTTTTCAAATTAGATATACCAAAAAGCTTTCTCTCTCTCTCTCTCTCTCTCTCTCTCTCTCTCTCTCTCTCTCTCTCTCTCTCTCTCTCTCTCTCTCTCTCTCTCTCTCTCTCTATCTCTATCTCTCCCTCTCCCTCTCTTTTTTCCCTCCACAAGTCTTAAGTCACTTATCAAACTTTTAAGGGTGCTGATTTCTGGGTTGTCAAATGTGAGAAGTTTTACCTAATAGAAGGAGTGCTTAAACAGGACCAGGATTGCTGACTTAAGATGCATTGGTAATCACTGTATGACAGACAGAGAAGTTTATAGTATGAGGATGGACTGTCCCAGGCATACCCCAGAACTTGTTCCTGAAGTGGTTGAAGTGGGGTCCTAGGCTGGATGGATCTCATGTGCCAGTGATTTAAGATTGATGGGTCCTGTTAACTGGATTTCACAAGCCACAGCCATTGAACCTAGTGGAGTTTTTGGTCTTTAGGGACTGAGGACTTTCCACAGGTAATTCCTGTGGGAAATATTGTGTGATTCCTGGCTTGCCTCATGGTGTCACCTAGCTTTTGGTTCTAGATCGCCTTTGAACTACCATCGCTGGGGTGATAGTTTTTCTCCCCCCTCTTTTTTCTTTGTTAAACTTATTGATCTTTAAAAATACTCTGGAAGATCTGGCACTGTCAAGCATTTATGAGGCGTTCGTTTGTCAGTTCACCTTCGGAAACTCGGGCCAGCTGAAGTAGCAAGTGGATGTAACAGAAATAAAAGCAGGCTCTGCAAATGATAACTCTAACCACAGTCCAGGATCAAAATGCTTTCTGTGGTGATGACATTCACCTCGCAGGGAGGGGATGAGGGGATTTTGCCCATTCAGTTTAATGGATGAAGAAGTACCCATCAGATTCTAAAGGGGGGTGGTGGGGAGAGGGGGGCCGGGGTGGAATCCAAATCCTTTCTATTCTTTTTAAAGAATTATTTGTCTCCCCATCAGATTTTAGTGCAACTCAACACCTTTCACATCCTCTTCAGAAGAGGGAAAAACTTTCTAGGGATGGAAGTGCCCATGTGATTAATTTTTGGCAATCCTCGGCCTCTTGGCTTTTTTCTTTCTGATCTTTGCCCCCTTCTCCAACTTTCTCAACCTCCCCATCCCCATGCACTTTGGTATTTTTTTTCCTTTCCCTCATGTGCAAAGCTAACTTCCTAGGAAAAAGCTGCCGGATATCTGAGCACTGGAGATAACTCATAAACAACAACTCGGCTTCCCCAACCTAAACATCAAGATGTTTGAACGTATCAGAACAAGACATGTTTGAAAAAAAAAATGGCTGGAGGTGTTAGCACAGAATGAATATGATCACACCACAAAAGAATGTTCTGAATCACTGAAAACCTGGCCTTTTTTTTTTTAAAAAAAAAAAAAGGAAAAGAAAAAAAGGAAAAAAAACTAACAACAAAAACCTTGTTGAGAATAAGTCATGATACTATTACAATTGGGCCTTTTTTTTTTTAAGGTAGAAATAAAGAAGGAAAAAGAGGAAGTAAAGTCTATCAGACTATGGGCTGATTAATGAGCAAGAGTGTATTTGACATTTTCTTGGGGTTTCTTTTGTCTGGGCAGATGACATAGGAAACTTGACTTGCATTTTATATAATTTTGTCTTCATTCACCTTTCATAAGAATTCTCTAGACTCTGAGTAATAATCACTCTTAATTCTAGAGTTCATTGGCTGCCACATTTTAAACTGTCTTTTCTGTCTTACTCATCTCTTCTGGGTGGTTTTATATATTTAGTTCCATCGAATTCATATGCTCCAGAGAAGGACTCGGACCACATTCAGGGTTTTTAAATTAAATTTATTCCTTTTTAGCCCTTAGATGCATTTGACTTCTGAGTACCTAGAATCTTTTTCTTCTTTCCTATTATTTCCTGTCCCTTCTTTCCAGCTTCTGTCTCTCCATTTTGCTATTTTTGTTTTGCGCATTTGCAGATACACTGAAGACCACCCAGCCCATCATGTAGCTAACTCCTCTGTCAGATGACTATCTAACACTAAATAAACTCGTGCAGGAAATAGAAATAACTGGCGGGAAGAACCATAGAATTCCCCCCCCCCCCAGTGTCGCCAGGATTTTCATATGTCTAACAAACAGCCGAGTAGCTTAGTTTATTAATGGACTTTGTCTCCTGCTAGTGAACCAAACAGTGTGGCTTTGAGAGGTTCTGTATAAATTCGCATAAAGTCTGTAGACCGGAGACATATTCTGAGCCCAACTGTATTTATGTTACTGTCAGTTTACTGCGAAGGATGCATCGAGAACCTCGTCAGCTCTGATTTTACCGGCTGGCCTGATGTGCTTGTACTAGGCATTCCAAGTTGGTGGGCTGGGAAATCTGTTGCCTGAATAGGTATTAGTCTACTATATCCAAGTGTTTCTTTTAAAGAAAAAAAAAGTACAGGAAGATAATAATAATCACATAACAACATAATTGCCGAAACCATTAAACTCTGATTTAATGTATTATTTTCTTCCCAAGAGTACAGAAGAAACAGTTATTTAAGTCTTAAATGATCACCTTCCATAAAGGCAGATGGAGGTTAGAGACAGCGCTTTTGGGCTGTGGTGAATTATTTTTGAAATAGACAGCCAAAAAGTAAAACCTTCTCAATTATGATAGATAAGGGCTGTTTTTAATGTCCAGTTTCTTAGATGCAGAGAATAAAGAATTACTACTCCCCCTTAAAAAAAAAAAAAAAGGCTGTGCTATTTAAGCCTGTAGGAAGGAGAAGCATATTTGTGGAACAATTTAGTGGCTTGGAGAGGAAAGGAATCAGTCTGCTTAATTCAGAATTGCCACTGGGTTTCCCATACCTGGCAGCTTCCGGTCTTGGGCTCAACTTTTTGATAGATAAAACATTGATGGAAAGGTGTACCACGATCACTGCCGTTTCTGTTCCACGCTTTTATAATCACACCAGACATTTCTTGATTAAGATAAAGACCAGCTGAAATGCTGTCTCTTCCTTTTGCCTTTGGTAATATTTCTGAGTTCAGGAGCAGGAATAACTCTGCAGTTAGAAATTTCTTTTTATGTTGTGGGGGTGGGGGGTGGGTGCGCTGAGGAGTTGAGGGAGGTGGATGCTAGAGGTGACTCAATTCCATTTTCTTTCACAAGTTTTTCAGTTTAGTTTTATTTAAAAGTAGGGACCGAGACAATAATCCCCCTTATAAATGTAAGTGTGTCAAAAAGTGAAAGGCAAATAATTTTGCCTTTTAAAAGAAATGAAGGCAGTGACACAATCAAATAATTAAAATTCAAGTGGAGGCTGACATTTGACCTGAGGCTATTCTGCTCTGTGAACAACAAAATACCTAATTTCTAGAAGGTGGAATGAGGTGAGAACAGGAGGAGGGGCTGAGTTCCTGCTGAAGTCCAAAGTGCCTTCTTCTTTACAGTTTGTCACATTAACTAAAAGCCACCTACAGAGAATGAGGATGGATGGTGGTCACCATGAGTGACCAAGTCTGAAAGCAGACGCTTATTCTTTGAGCACTCTGCTCTCTGTATAAGCCAGCGTTTCTTTATTTGGGGTCTATAAGTGCGTTTGGTGCTTGGGGTTGCTCTTCCTTTGCTGTTACTAACCAATGGCTAGGAGCCTCGATGAGAAATTATATCTGAGCAGATGCACTTGAAAAAGACCTTGTGGGCCTGGTAAAAATGAGGCCACTGGAAGCCTGGTACCTAAACCAGGCTGATTAATTCAAAATTGCCACCCATAAAAATTCAACATCTGGAGAACTTTGTGGGATGGGCGTAGGGGGGAGGATGAACCTCAAGAGGTGGTGTGGGCTTTTGAATTCCCCCGAATTCTCCCAGGGAGCGCAGTGGGCTGGATTCTGACCACTTGGCTGCGGGCTGACACGCTGCTTTGCCAGGGGATCGGCTATAATTTTCTTCTTGAGGCTGCTTTTGGGGATCTTTCTTACTTTCATGTGGGCTACTTGCTAGTTTTGATTTCAATGATAATTTCTTTCTTTTTGTTTTTTAAAGTCTGTCTCTGTAGTTCTGAAAACACATTTACCATTTGTTCTGATCCCCCCCAACCCTCAGTCGGCAGCAAGAAGGGCAGGAACGTCCTGTGCAAACTGTCAAACCACCACTACCACTCTCTGGAGAAGGAATGCCAATGGGGACCCTGTCTGCAACGCCTGCGGGCTCTACTACAAGCTGCACAATGTAAGTGTCACGGGGACCCACCACATCAGTGTCCCTTGCTAATGATGCCCGGTGTCACCCTTTCCAGGTCCCCCTTCTCGGTTTGCATTGCCTTCCTTTGGGCCACATCGTGGCCTCCAGTAATCAATGCCGTAGGGCCCAATAGGAAACAGCTCTGTGTTATGTGTAGCCTTGCTGAGAGCAAAGGGCTCACACAGGATGACCCAGCCCCCTTAGTAGGCATGGAAAACACCAGAAAACAGTGCATGTGATCCAGTGATCCAGGATGCCTGGTGGGCCGGGTCTGGGTTCTTAAGGAAAAGGAATCTTTCCCTTGGAAAACAAAAGAAGTCACCCGCTATATTTTGATGCTTTCTTATGATTTATACATATGGCAAACATGAGAAAGACAGTGAAAGAGAAAGGTAACCAGATTGTAATGCACGGCACATGCATTCCTGAAACTAAGAGGACTGAGATTCAGTTACTGAGGGGGGGAAAAAGTCTTACTCTGTGCTGTGAATTTTAAATGGGTTCTCTCTATAGATGACATAAGATGAAGTGTCTGAGAGATTTTATCTGCTGGCTTTTCCTAATCAGCAGAGAACTGAGGAAAGCTGAGAAAAGCAGTTTGGAGCGCTTCCTCCTACCAGGGAAAAGGAACGCTGTGTTTCCTCCTTCTGTGTTCTATCAGCAGAGTGATAGTGGCCAGCCAGTCAGCTGGGTTTAGCTGCGTCATTTCTTACCTTTTAATTTGGGGTTGTCCCACGTTGCAATGTGTTTTACCTTAAAACTCCCCCCCCCCCACCAAAACAACTCTGGCTGACAGGCCGTGACCTAAGGAGACCTGAGGTTTGCCTTAGTCCCACAGTAAGAATTCTCAGCTCTGTCTCCTCTCTGGCTCTGTCTGGTTCTCCTAAAGCCTCTTGGTCAATCTAACTTTGCAAAGGCCAGGGCTGAACAGGGAAAATGCAGAGCGTTACGCTCACAGCCATTCTGGCAGTCACCTCGTCTTACCCAGGAATACCTGAGAATGAGGGAGGAAGATTTCCTGCTTACATTTTTCAAGTCACGAAAGGACTTCTGAGGGTCATCCCAGCACCCTCGTCCGTTTTTCCCTTTTGGGAATAAGTTGCGGCGATTCCCAGGAACCCTGCCTTGTGTGCCATCTGCTCCTGATGTGTGATGCCTGAGCAGCGCCAGCCCTGATAGAACCAGAGTCTCCCTACAGCTGGTCCTTCTCCCTCAGACCCTTGGACTGTGGTTTATACATATTTATCAGCAATGAAACCCAAGTCTCATTTTCACTTTGGGGAGTTTACCTGCTTACTGTGTAGAGATGAAAGAATTTGTGATTAAAATCTGGAAGATTTGGGGCATTAGAGTTTATGAGCTACCCAGTCTTCGGAACAGCCTATAAAATTATTTTGGGGTTGTAATTTATGGTTTTCAAAGAACTTTCATGTTACTTGATTACGCTGGAGCCTCAAACAGTCCCATGATGTAGACAGGGCAGAAATTGTTTTTTATTTCTGGCTTACTTGAAGAAATTATGACTCAGAGAAGCAAGTAACTTGTGCAAGGGAATGGGGCTGATGAAGTGAAAGAGGCAGGACTGAATTCAGAGTTGTAGAAGGCTTTCCTGGGAAGCATCGGGACTAACAGGGACCAGTGGAAGGCAAAGGCTTTCTTATTTTAGAACATACCCAAATCCAATTCAAAGCAATGCCTTGTGTGTATCTATGTAGTTCTTCCTTGTTTTCATGGAAGTATAGGAATTAGGGGAAATTAAGCAGCTATAAATTTTTTTGACTACTTAGCCATGACGAGATATGATCTCAATTGTGTTCAATCTAAAATGAAAAATATTTCTGAAGAATATGAATGTCTCATCAAATCAAAGAAAAGTCAAGGAACCCTTTTCACTGCTCACTCCAGCCCTATTTTCTCAATTAGCTCCTGACTTCATGGCTGGGCTGCTGTGGGAGACAGGAACTTGCTTATCAAGAGTGGTTTTTCTGTCTTTGGTTTTAGTAAGAATTCACAAAAGGGAGGTGATCTGTGCGTATTTAGCAATAAGAGATAATAATCCATTAACATTCTCATTGTGTTGTGTTTTGTTCCGCCCTTGTATGTGTATGCCATAAGTTAGTTCCTTTCTGCTTATCTAGGTGTTTAGATAACTACCTATCTCAGTATCAGTGTATCTAGGTGGTGTTGGGACTAGTTATCTGGGTTTGTGTGGCTATCTGTGTAACTAGATATTATATTTAGATACCTGGCTATGTGTATCTAGATATCCGGGTAAAGAGATGTGTGTCTAGACATTATCTGGGGGAAGATTTGATGTGACAGTAGATTCCTATCACCTCTGTCAGCTGTACCTTTATCTTGATTATAACTTTGAAGAAGGAACCCTGAGACGTTCTTTGGCAACGAACTTTTAGCTCTTCTGCCATCACTCACGCTGCCTTCCTGGCACAAGGGGAGAATCAAGGTCTCAGGTCCACTGTGAGGTTCCCTGCTCGCTCCACGGTGACCTCTCCCATCTCAGCTCCAGAAAGTTGTGTGTTTGCTGTGCCCAGAAGCATGGTCAGCAGCCTGTTCGTCTTGATCTTTTGAATTCTGTCTTCCTTAACTGTCATTTGCTCGTGTTTGGAGTAGACAGGTCAGTAGATCCTGGAGCCATGAGAACCTCTTACCTTTCTGCAACCTTGAGCACCCTGGAGGGAGAAGAGGTTTTCTCCCCAAGGAGTCAGGAATGACTGAGACCCTGACATTCCCTCCTTGAGTTGCTTTGCCACGTTTCCCTGGAAACATGGCCAGATGTGTGGTTTGCTACATGGGGCAGATGGCTGCTATTGCGGTTAATCTGATTCTGAATCCTTGTGAAGCGTGGTCTCTGTGGCTTTGTAATGTCCCCTCTCTTGATTGTCCCCTCCTGTCCCCCACCTCAAAGCAAAAGTATTTTAAAAACAAATCCATCGAGTCTTATTGAGAGAGGTGGTATGCTGTCTCGGAGACTGAAGGCTAGTGATCTTTCTGTCTCTTCAGTTCATGCCTGGTCTTTGAATTTCAGAATGAGAGTACTTTCATGCTAGCACAGCACTTTGCACCCCTAAGTGGTTATTAAATACTTACTGATTGGTTGTTCAGCTGTTTGTCTAGTTAAAAGTGGATAGCCAGAACTAGGTGGAAATTGAAGCTTTCAATCATTGTCGTGGTTGTGACATGGGCAAGAGGGATGACCTTTTGGGAAGGCATGCCGTATTAAAATATGACCCCAGAACACACAAATTCCTGGGGACGATTTGCCAGCACCTTCCATTGTGAAAAGGTCAGGTAGAAGAGAGACAACCAAACACGACTTTGAAGAGGGGTACAGTCCTAGTTTCTCAGGTGCAGTTTGACCTGCACACTTCAGACTGTGGCATGGACAGTGCTTGTGAAGTCCTGGTATGGATTTCAGATGAGTAGACGAAATGTTGTTTCCCTTTGGAAGATTCCTCAATTGCATCTGTTCTCATGAACTATTCTAAGGAAATTCTATTGAAGTAAGACAAGTTATTACATTTTCGTTACCAGAGAAATACAGTCGTATTGGGTGGGTCTCTAGAATATGGTCCGTGGGAAAACCAAGTTCCCTGAGGCAAAATTTCCCCCCAATGACTGATGTGGACGGATGTAATTAATAACCTCTGCTGGGAATACCTTACCTACCATCTCTTGGTTTCTGAAACTGATAGAGGCTGACAGTCGGGACTCTGCCACAGACCTAGCCTGCTGGACTCTGGGTCCCTGGGAAGGAGGCAGGAAGAGGTGGGAGAAAAGGGCCCCCTGAAAGCAGATCCCTGAGCTGGGGCAGTCAGAGGAACCCGTGTTGGGGTGTAAAAACCTGCGCCATTTCAGAGCCAGCAAAAAAGTAAAAAAAAAAAAAAATTTGATCTTTGTTTAGATTAACAGACCCCTGACTATGAAGAAGGAAGGCATCCAGACCAGAAACCGAAAAATGTCTAGCAAATCCAAAAAGTGCAAAAAGGTGCATGACACGCTGGAAGACTTCCCCAAGAGCAGCTCCTTCAACCCAGCCGCCCTCTCCAGACACATGTCCTCGCTCAGCCACATTTCACCCTTCAGCCATTCCAGCCACATGCTGACCACCCCAACGCCGATGCATCCGCCGTCCAGCCTCTCCTTTGGACCTCACCACCCCTCTAGTATGGTCACCGCCATGGGTTAGAGTCTCTCTACTCGATGCTTAAAGGTCTCCACGTGAGAGTCCCTCCAGCCCCTTCTATGTGCATTTTTGCAGGAGCAGTATCATGAAGCCGAGAACCGATGGATATCTGTTTTTTTTTTGAAGGCAGAAAGCAAAATGATGTTTGCTACTTTTGCCAAGGAGCTCACTGTGGTGTCTGCGTTCCCAATCACTGAATCTGATCCCATTTGTGAATAAGCCATTCAGACTCATCTTCCCTATTTAACAGGGTCTCTCTAGTGCTGTGAAAAAAAAAATGCTGAACATTGCATATAACTTATATTGTAAGAAATACTGTACATTTGAAGAAGACTTTATTGCATCTGGGTAGCTGTAAGGAAGGCATGAAGGACGCCAAGAATTTTAAGGAATATGGGGGAAATAAAAAGTATGAAAATTAAGAAGAAACTAGGTCTGATATCCAAATGGAAAACTGCCAGTTTTGTTTCCTTTCACTGGCCACAGGTGTTTGATGCATTAAAAAAAAAAAAAAAAAAAAAAAAAAAAAAAAAAAAAAAAAAAAAAAAAAAAAAAAAAAAAAAAAAAAAAANAAAAGAAAAAAGAAAAAAAAAATGCCATAGGCAAATCATTCGTTCAAAGCTGTGGGCCTCTGCATAGAAAATCCTATCAGTTCTGGGCAATTGTGTTAACACTCACATATTGCCACCAAGGGTTTGACATAGCCTTTTTCAGGCCTACATGCTGTGTGAACATGTCCCTGTAATTGTCGTTTGTATGTATAATTCAAAGCATCAAAATAAGAAAAGATGTAGATTTATTTCATCATATTATACAGACTGAATCGTTGTACAAATTTATTTACTGCTAGTGTTAAGATCTGCTTTTTTTTTTGTTTTTTTTTGTTTTGTTTTAATATTTTCCTTCTCAATTTTTGGTTGAATAAACTAGATGACATTCAGTTGATCTAAGGTGATTGTGCTCCGGAGGGCTTCTTTTCCATTTTGTTTTTTGATGATATTTATTAAATAGCTTCTAAGGGTACAGCAGCACCTGTCGTTTGACTCCCACCTCCCGCAGCCTGTGCTATGAGGGTAGCTATGTAGGAGCTACCGACGTGCATGTCAGCGCCGTAGGCCGGTCAGACCCGGTCCTGGGAGCAGCCTGGCTGGCTCTTAGCTCTGTTGTGTTCTGTGTTAGTGATCACTGCCTTTAATCCAGTCTGTTGGAGTAATAATATAAAAATAATAATAAAAGTTATTTTAAGACAACCCAATAACATCGTTATCGAAGTGGTGGCCAAGCTCTTCTAGAACCTGGTAGCTCTAGCTAATTTAAGAAAAAGGAATTTAAAAAGAAACAACACCCAAACATGTTGAGTGTTTCACTAGGAGATAATGCAAACCCCAGGTCGTCCATATTTATTCCTTTGGGAAACTGTGCATCTTCGGAGCTTGCTGCGCAGCCCAGAGGGATCTGTTCTGGGGAGGGAGTAACTCCTGTGGTCCCCTAGTGAGCTGCGGTGTCCTGTTCTTGTGCACCTCGAGTACACAATCTTCTCGCAGGAGAAGCGGGAAGATGTCCACACTGAGATCCCCAGGCGGACTGCAGCCGAGGGATTCCTCGAGGTTCTTTGCAAAGACCCAAAGGAGCTGGGCTGGCTCTTGAGTTCATTTCTGTTGCTTTCCTACTGTCGAATACCACCACCATGGAGGGCTTACTGGAACGTTCGCGAAACCTGAAATAACCATTTTGTAACTTTCGCTGTATAGTTTTCTTTTCCTCTGTTGACAGAATGTGTAATGATGGCGCACATTTTAAAATCTCTGTTAATCACCTCTTCTGCTTTCTTAGCGAATATTTTAAACCTAAAGCTCAATGTTGAAATAAAGGAGTAGAGAATCACTGAGATGCAAATGGAGATCTTACTGGCTCCCAATTAATGATCTGTAATTCGCATGGGTTTTTTTTTTTTTCCAATGACCTTTGAGGCACCAAAGGCAGTCACCATCTACTGCCATCTTAAACGTGGGAGATTTTATTGGATGGTTCCAATGTCTCAGGATTTGCCACCTCTTTTCTTCATGGACAGATCTGAGTTAATTAATGCCCTTTCACCTTAAGAACAGGGAGTTCAAATTCCTGACATTCTTGGGGTGGGAGAACGGTGGGGCAGGGGCACACAGAAAAATCCCAAACTCAGTACTCTAGCTGCATTTTGTTTGAGGTACAGTAGTGATAATGGCACATTGGGTCCTATTCCATCTTCAGAGAAATGCCATTTTATCACTCCATCGAGTCAAGGTTCTAAGACATTTCTAGAAGAGGGTACAAATGATTTAAAAAATATATATGATAGCAACGGTTCAGTTTCTTCTTTAGACAGTGGTATGTTTCTATGGTTCAGAGATTTTGTTCTTTTTTTCTTCATTTCAAATAAGTTTAAGACACTAAAAGAGCAATACTAGAGAGGGTTTCATCTAGAAAAACAGAACAGGATTATAGATCTAAAATAGTGCTGACATATTGAGTAAATTGTACCCCTAATCAATTTTCAGTCTGTTTTGCCTCCCTTTGGAAATAATTGCATTAGCTCATCCATACAACATTACATGAGAAATACATGTGCAAATTTGGATTATTTCTCTAAAACATTTAAAAAGTCAACACAATAGAAAAAGTTACAGACTCCTCTTGTATAGCTAACAGTGGAAGTTCAGGAGGTAAAAGTTTTGAATTTAAGTGCTGTTTTCTTGTAGTCAACATATACCTAGTGAGTGAGTGTCTAGCTTGAAGTCCATTTAAAACCACTTTTTGTTTTTCGAGCAGATCAGGAAACAGAGAAACGAAGACTGCAGTGTCTCATTCTTACTTTGTGACATTTACATGTTATTCCCCTTTAAAATGAACTATATGCCCTGTGGTGAGGCTCCTAACTGGGCCTCTGGGTTGGTCGCCAGGCAGACGGCAGGTAACCGGAGGTGGGGACAGCCAGAGCCTGCCTTCTGAGATCAGTGTCTTATTTTCTAAACCTTTCTCAGGTTTTAAACTTACTTGCAAAGCTTGCGCCTCATCGCAGGACTTCATTTTTGTATTTCCTAAGTCTAGAACTCTGGGAAGGGAGTGAGTTTTTCCCAGGTACATGCCTGACCTGAGTTTAGTAAAACACCTGTTGACAAAATTCAAACGTCCAGAGTCAAATGCCATCCAGTGGTACCGTGTTTCTGGTACTTTCCTCACAAGGGTGAATTGTCTCACGTACATTTCAAAGATGTAGAAGCATGACTGCTGCATGTATTCTCTGGTTCCATTCCCCTGTTCTCAACCCCAAGCCCATCCTCAAATCCAGCCCCATTTCTATGATCTCTCCTGGACAGCAGTCATTATTAACTCCTCTTGTCAATAAATTTCCTTCCATTTCCAAGCTAAGGAGAAATTTAAAAACATTTTTTTTAGATTACAAATTAAAAAAAAATTAAAAGGACAACAGGAAACTTTTGAGAGGTAGTATGTTATAGTTTTACCCACAGAACACAAATTTTCACCATTATCCCTAACAGCTGAGTAACACACCAACCCCTTTTCCTGTGCTTTCAAACAGGAAAAACTTTCATTTTTGTTTATTCTATCTTGCTCAAATGGCGTGAATTCACCCTCAGACTGGACACCCTTTGCAAAAGCCCAGGAAAGTGGAAAAAAAACTCCCCTGGAATTCAGAGAAACTCATTGATCATTCGAACACATCATGACGATAGTCCTAGGAGTTTGGGACCTTGGGTTTTGTTCCTGGCGGCCACTCATGTACAGACAGAGTGCAATGAGGCCTTTGGTTTGGCTTTTCTGGGAGTTGGCTCTTTATCTGCGTAATTACGTGAGATGATCACAGACCCATTTGAGAAGGAAATACCACGATTCCACTGGCTTTCTATCTTTTTGTTTTTGGTAAACATCCTTTATTAAGAAAGGTGTCCTCACATTCCTGTCAGAATTTTGACCAGAATTAAAAGCCTAGGGCAATAATAGTTCGAAAGATCCCAGACAGGGCAAGGGGAGTTCTACTCCCCTCTGTCATTATACTATCTTGTGAAACGTAAATTAACTTGTATTTCGTGACTGTCAAGTCAAGACAGAAGTCAGTGTCCCAGTCTGCAGGTCCCCTGCTCTTCCTGAAATGTGTCCAGGGTCCCCCACCCCCACCCCCCGCCCACCCCTTGAGTGGAATCCACAGGACTGTGGTCCTGCTGACGTTGGCAGTGTGGTGCACATTTCACTCGTCCATGGTATAAAGAAATTCTGTCTGAATGGCTTATGGGCTATTCTAGAGGGATAGCCGGAGCCCAGTCTTTCTTTGTCCTTGTACCCCCTTTCTTTCTCTCTAGAGAAGGGGGATTGACAGAGGAAGTAGACCAATGTTCCCCAAAGCTGTTCTGTTTAGGGTGCCCCACTCCGACTCTGCTATCTCCAAGCCCTTGAGCTTCTTGACAGGGGATCTCGGTCCATTAGCCACATTGTTTGGGGTGCGTTTTTACAATCCCCTGTCATGTCTGTGTGCACAGTGTGGCAGGCTGGCATTGGAGAGGGGATTTGGAGAGCAGGCCCACTGCCCCTGCCCTCCCCACCCCATGGCTGTCAGGCTAAAGGAAAGGCAAGCATTATAAGCACTCCACTGCCCTGTGGCCCCAGCGACAACCCATGGATGTGCCAACACCAGGGGGGTAGTTTAGTTTGTCTTCCTAAGGAAGCCGCTTTGGGCCCCGTGTGGTGCAACTAAGGGGTGTAGTCTGGATACACTGGGTCCAAATTTGGCTACTTGTTCTGAATCGAACCCTACTGCAGAAAGGTTTAGAGGACGGTTGCCTGATGCCTAAACTACTAGGTACATGACTAAGAAAGCAACCAATAGGGGTTTCTTTCTTGCTTTTCTTTTCTTTTTCCCCCCCTGGCCTGTGGGCATAAGAAACTTCTAGAAAATGAAAGGATTTTTTTTTCCTGATGATAAAATTTGTTAATACTTACTGACCAGACTTGGAAAGTACTACTGCCCCCTCACCACACATACTGTTTTTTTTCTTTTTCTTCTTTTTTTTTTTTAGAGATGCAGAAGGAACAGGATTTTTGGGCCGTGAACCTCCTGGTCTTTTGAATACTCAATTTGGAATGCCTTAATGAATCCGATGACCCTGGAGGGAAGGCTTGGGGAGGGAGGCTTGGATAGAGCACTTGCTTTTTGAGGGTCACTAAAACTCCATTTTGTGTACTGGAAGGGGTCATTAGTAAAATGAACTTTGTAAAAGGTGGCCACCTCCTCCCTTCTCATGGGAGCTTCCACTCCCTGTGTTGGGACTGCCTCTCACAGCCATCACAAGGATAGCTGGTACTTTTCGAGCACCAACACCAGCCAGCTCTGAACATACCACCTGCTTCAGCCATGACCCCACCCACAGTCACTGCCAACTCCCAGCTAAAGCGGCTGGGTTCCCCTCCACTGACAGCCTGTAACACTGAGTTGGAAGTCCTCTCCTGAGTTCTCCTCCTCTGCAGGCAAGCATTCCT